TTTTACTGAGTGGTATGAATAATAATGACCATTATGAATGAAAGGTGGCTGCGTTTTCGCGTTGTTAACCTGTGTAAGTACCTTTTGTCATGCTAAATTTGCCATGAGTTTTCGTCGCGGCATAAAAAGTCGCACAGCATGTGAAAACCAACTTGACGTACCACATTTCAATAAACAATTGTAACTTTGATACGTTTCCTGGTCACGTATGCATTGATTTAATGAAATGAAATAATAATATACTATGTGCATGTAAATGTGAGAACATCACAGGAACGTTTTCAGGCTTCTCAAAATATGGCGACGCTCAGCCCCAGTTCCAAACTTAAACTAGCATGTGAGTTTTTGTGGCGAGAAACAATTTTGAGAAGGTCGTTATCAAGAAGCTATTAGGTGAGGACGAGAAGGAAAAGAGTCTTTTTCTCAAAGAAGCAAAGATACTCCATGTGATTAAAAGTGAACATAAAGTTAAGTTTAAAGCTGTGTGCATGGAACTGTTTGCAACGATGCTTGAATATTTGTTTTTCGACTTCGCTCCCTTCGGCGGCTCAGAAGTTGTTAGCAGTCTGGACCAATTTCTCTGACAATTTTTTTTCACAATTTTTTACAAATGAACTAATGAGCAGCACTCTGCGAACAGTAGTTGTAAAAATTCTTTATTCTCCGACGCGTTTCGTCTAACTGTCGCACAGTTCTTCAGGAAGTTTTACAAGTTGAAACTAAATGCCTGTATTTATGAGCCATAGTTAGAGGCTATACAGGGGCCAGTGACCATAAAGGCTTGGCTAGACATACGAACAGGAACAGGCGAAGTGGTGAAAAATTTCAAACTTTTGTGGGAAAGGTGAGAAAAATATTTTGGGGGCCATGCTTTTAGAAAATTCAAAAAATTATTTAAAAAATTAATTAGAAAATTTTTTAAAAAAAAAATGACATCCGTTCCGTGTTTAAGAATTTGGGGTCGTTTTTTGCCGTTCCGTGTTTTAGGATTTGGGGTCATTTTCCGCCGTTCCATGTTTTAGGATTTGAAGTCATTTTCCGCCGTTCTGTGTTTTAGGATTTGGGGTCTTTTTCCGCCATTCCACCATTCTGCCGTTCCGCCGTTCCGGCTTTTAGGGTCGTCCAATTATTTTCGTATGATTTCAGTCTGCGATAATGGCGTCCGAAGCGAAACGCTAGAGATACAGCGTAGCTAAGGCTTTAGAGGTGATTTTTGACGATGGAAGTGAGCATGGTGGTATCTCTAGTGGTGAGGAATCCGAATTAGATAGAAAACTGGAAAATCTTGGCGAAGAATCGAGGTAAGTAATCTGTAAACAATCTTGCGATATTTAAATGCGTGACGCATGTGGTGTTGAAACATTTACTTTTACTTTTCGCGCACGAATCCTTGTTTTTTGCCTCGAGACAAACCTGTAAATGTATATTTGTGAATGAAAAGCAACATATTTTATGATCAAACATGATTTTTGAGCGACAGAGAAAATAATCTTCAATTGAATGTCAGAACGCAACGACCTAAATTATCAGCCGATGACAGATATGACGCAGTGTGAGTCCGAACTAAATCAAATAAAA